AAGGTTTGTTGTAAAACATAAAGAATAAAACTTTGACCGTACACACGAAGAATAAATAATTAAGGGAGAAAAGACTAAGTGTTAATTTGACTAGTGTACGCCTTAAGATAAATATTTATAATTGCAGTTTACATCTCAGGTACGTTGAATAGCGTAATTATGCTTGTTTCCCACTTTAATATGTTCTAAAATATTTTTTGACTTTGTACCTAGACACATTTAGTGAATAGATCCTGGGTTATACTATTCACGTAAGTGTGTATATAAAGGGTTATTTACATAACCAATATTCAATTGATGTTGGAAGATACATCTATAAAGGTTATGTAAGATACTTAGGATTGATGCTATAAGGACTCTTAGGTTTTCTCTTGAATTTGAAATAAACATTTGGTACCATCATTAGATGGATTTAAATTTTCTCTTGAACAAATTCGGTTAGCTTGTCCATTTGAAAACATTAAGCTTGGTCTATTTCATAATTCAAAATTTGACCTATAATTTAAGTAAAAGTCTCATACAGTAAAATCTTACATAAGCAATTTAAAATGGTACAAATTTCAAGAATAGAACATTCAAGGACATTCAAAGAAGTATGATAAGTCATTCTTTTTCACTAAGGTATATTTAGGAGAAACATTAAGTGCTGCAATATATTATTTTTAAAAGGGGAAATTTAAAATCTTTTAAGGATGTTGAGTTTGAGGGGAGAAATTTAGATTAGAGACATTGTCTTTAAGGATGAATCAATTTGATTCGTAATACTGCTTTTGACAATATGCATGTTTTTATACTTGTCATTGTTTGAAAAGTAGATTTGGAGTTTTGGTAAGACAATGTTGAACAATTCCCCAAATCAAGTTTTGGTAATTGTCACCACAGATAGCAAACTCAACAACCTTAAGAGAATAAGCCATTAAAGATGAGTTGGAATTTAGAATGACAATACATTAGGATCTTATCGAATTGCCATAAGGTGTGAATTTATTTGGTTACAAATAATTGAGACCAAATGTAATTCAAATGGGCAATATTGAAAGCTATATAGTACGTTAGTCATTAAAGATTTCACTCATATCGACTTTATTAAGAGATTTATGGACACAAGGAATATGTTTCTCAAATGGTAACATTTATGGAACAATAAAGTGCAACCATAAAATCTTAATATTTAAAGATTTGAAGTAAAGATTTGAAGGATAGTGATTGCAAACTAAAGTAGTCCATTAATGAAATCAAAATTCCCGTTAATGATGTTACAATCCTAAGCTAATTATCTCATATGCATTTTGAGATAAAATTAATGATTGTACATACCCAAGGATCAGTGGGAGATAATCTCACAACAAAGAAAACTTGTTTAGTTCATTTCAATGCCCAATAAATATTTTAAAGTAAAAGAATGTGCGCATTCGGTTAAGGCGTGCATAAAGTTAGGCAGATATTTGAATAACCCTATAAAGTGGATCATTTAGAAAAGCAGTCAAAAGGGTTATACAGTAATTATAGAGAACAAAAGTTATATATATGCTCGATTATCAAAAATCATTTATTTTGGGAGATCATGTGGTTTATTTATGATTTTGAGTTTTATGATGTGCATAAAGCATAGATCCATTTCGGTTAATGTAGACCTATGTGATTGAGCTATTTCGGTATGGGTGTTAGGCATACAATTTAAGCTCTTTTCACAATGGTTAAGAATTTATGGTAATTTTTTTGGCACCTTATTCTGGAATATGACTGTGAAATTTTGTCAATGGGCTGCATTATATTAAACATACGGTGACAATAGATTAACAGTTGTACATTTCAATAACGACAAGAGCTTGTAAAGTTCTTAGTTGTGAAGGGTACAAAGTGAACAATACATAGAGCGTTTTAAGATAAACTCCACAATTGCGGATCCGCTTACTAAAGGATTAACACATAAGGTATTCATGAGCATTGCTCATGTAGGTGTTATATCATTTAAGGATATTATGGTTCAGTGGGAGTTTGTACGTGTGTGTATATATAAACACATTTTGGTAGCTCTATGATATGTTTGGACACAAAGTTGTGTATTAAGTTTTCTGCAGAAATAAAGTATTTGGTTGCGCTTTGTACAATTATGTTAAGGTTTGGTCTCAATAAAGTTTAAAGTAGGACCAGTTGGAAATAGGCATGTTAAGATCACATTACATGTAATTTCCATGCTACACACCATAATTTGATCTATGTCGTTTGGCTATATTGGTATACGTGATTACTGTTGGGTTTAGACACGCTCAATGTGACGAAAGCCTCTTTAGTCCTATATCAGTATGGTCAATGGACGAGATTGTAAGGAATACCTTTTTTTATATGATAGCAATATTTGAGCTCATAAGGTGTACACATTTATAAGATATAAAACATATGTGGCCCAAGTGGGAGATTGTTGGAATTATTTCAATAATTATGTGGGCTCACATATGTGACGTAAATGTGTATGGCTATCTAAAAGATAGTCCAAATTAATTGTGATCTAATTAAGATTATTGGGTTGGACTTGTGGGTATTAGACTATAATTATGGGTCTAATGTGTAGAGACAATTAGGGTTTAATTGTGATTTATTGATGGGGCTGAATCACAGTTGTAAGATAACTGGACTCTACAGTTATATAAAGGGTCGTGGTCCCCAAAGAAACGTAATCATTCCGTCTCTTCTAAAATCCATCGTTAGAGAGAAAAATAAGGAACTGCGGATTCTTTGGAAGACCTCTCCCAAATCCGGTGGAGATTCGAAGATTCGATTACATGATGTAAGGTACGCTTCCGTGTTTATGTTTAGGTTTAATTCTCGTTGATTCAAGCATGTTGGTTCTTGGGAATTCGTATGTATGTACGATAAAATTTCTAACAGATTAATATAATTAGAAGAAGCATTATATATGCCATCTCATCGGAAACAAAAAAATAATTACTCCATTTAATTTAATAAGGACGTAAATAACTCACTGTCTGTTAGCTGTACTGTATCTAAGAAATCTCATGACATAATACTAAATTAATTTCAATATAATTAATGCATAATAATGTTTGCGGTCATGTTTCGGGGAAGCTCTCATGAATATTATGCATTGATTGAAACAAGTAGCTTACTGTCAGTTGCACGTGTGGTGAGAATGCTATGACGTAATATATGGGGCCCACGTTAGAAAAAGACTGCCAGACAGCCTGTATAACCAGAAAACGCGAGGCCCATATATATGGATCGTCATAGAGCAAAACAAAGCCCAAATCCAACACCCATTTAACCCGATATACCAAATGACCAAACCGGGTCGAGTCCATAATAAGATCATATGTATAGTATAGTGAAAGAGTTCAATTCTACTTCCCCAGTGGATAAAAACAAGAATAGATATAATATAATGGTATTTCTTTCTTTCTTTGGTGCGTCAAAGAATTATTATTTCTTCTGCCCCTCCACTAGGTGGTGGTGGTGGTGGTGGTGGTGGGTGGAGTGGTGAAAATTTTGCAGGTAAATTTATTGAATACTCCATTAGTCTGAACGAATGATGGACAACAAGAATTAGTGATTTTTTTTTTCCTTCCCAGTATATACTACTGCTATCATGTAATATTGTTGAGGGATCTGATAAATGTCGTTCAAGCTTTAATAATACCGTTTCGACTTTAAACGTGATTTTGATCATTTTTCCGAAAAATAGAATCTGTAGTATTCTGAGTTAGTTTTCTAATTCAACTTGAATCACTAAAATTGAGTGTCAGACGAGAAAGATATACATGAATCAATGGATATCGCCAACAACTTTGATGGATTAAGGTATTTCAAATACAAAATGTGACTCATTCATGCATAATTTTATCACACAACATCCAATCTAGCGGATTTAAGTTGGATTAGAAAGCTAACCCAAAGGACTACAGTTTCCGTGTTTCGAATTTTGCCAAAATCAAAATAAAAATATTTTAAAATTAGATTCGAAGTCAAAACGATATTAGTAAAATTAAAACGACATTTAACAAGTGGCACTGCACTAGTTTTATATCCACCCGCAATATAATACTATATGATAAATTATAGTGTGGACTCACTGTAATAATAACAAAGAAAAATGTAAGCCCAATTCTTAATGGGCATGGCCCATTTAGAAGAGTCACCATCCCACGAATGTTGGTCTCTCTCATTATTGTTGGAGCACCACTGCTTTTGATTCTTTCTTTCTTTTATATAATTTATCTAATTAAATTGACTTCATCACACGTAGCATTATATTATATTATATTATTCATCATAAATTTTAAATAAACACAAGTACATATATATCCTTTTCAAAATGAAACAAGATTTGTAAGATTTAACCTACATTATATCATCGAATCTATTCGTAGCTAGTTAGCACTCATGTCTGTCTCTCCTCCTGCACCATTAATTCATCAGAAAGTGAAGATTCAGTATTTTATTTAATTTATTTATTTCCCATAACTACAGTACTAGGTTTTTAATATTTATTTATTTATCTTTTTGAGAAAAGGTTCTTATAAATTAAAGCCACTTTATTTGCTTCACTTTGACAGTAAAACAGGGATTGTGAATGCACATCAGAACATGGATCCTATTCCATCTTAAGCACCAAACAATTATTAATGGCCACAAATAAATGGAGGGAATCAAAGTCAACTTTCAGTCAAAATCACTACCCAAAAGTATTTACAATAAACAGTACTATTTTAACAATCATGTCAAATTTGCATTTTTGGTCCCGAAACTATGATGAAATATGTAACTCTACCCCTATATTAATTATTGAGTGGTTTCATCAGTCAAGTGCCTCTCTTAACTATCCAATTATGCTGTCACTAAAATTCAACAACTTGTTCAAAAAAATAATAAAATGCACGGTTCTCATCATTGTAAACAAAAGTCAACGGTTGAGCTTATTTATGCATGCTACATTCTTCTGCCCTATATAACAAGAACCAACCAACCAAAGTAGCAAATTCACCAACTAACTCAGTAACTACTTGATATATATACATATATAACTTATAATTCAATTGTAAGATTCTAATTAAGTAGATGGATGAAAAGAAGAAAGTGTTGGATGAATCATCAACAAATGATCAAGAAAAATGGGTGCACGATTCTTCTCTTGATTATAAAGGAAGAATTCCTCTCAGAGCTTCCACTGGTTCATGGAAGGCTGCATTTTTTATTATAGGTATCAACAAATTAATTTTTCCCATAATAAAAATACATGTTTAATTTTTTGCACTAATTAAATTAAACCCCTTAATGTTTTTTTCTTTCGACAGCAACCGAATTTAGCGAAAGATTGAGTTATTTCGGGCTAGCAGCAAATTTAATAATATACCTAACCAGGGTTCTCCACCAAGACCTAAAAACAGCAGCCAAGAGTGTTAACTACTGGTCAGGTGTCACCACAATGATGCCTTTACTAGGTGGATTTCTAGCCGACGCTTACTTTGGTCGATTTTCGACAGTTTTAGCCTCATCCATTGTTTATCTCCTGGTAATTAATTAATTTATATATATATATATATATATATATATATATATATATATATATATATACGTACAAAATAATCTTTAAAAAAAACAAATTTCTAAAATATTGATTTTAATTATTTAAAAAAAAAACAGGGGTTGCTTTTATTGACAATGTCAAGAGTGATCCCGGGCCTGGAGCCATGTGGGCCCGGAACGAAGACCTGCAACGAACCACGTAGGGTCCACGAGGTAATCTTCTTCTTCGCAATGTACTTGATCTCAATAGGGACAGGTGGCCACAAGCCTGCACTCGAGAGCTTTGGAGCTGACCAATTCGACGATGATCATTCCGTAGAAAGACAAAAGAAAATGTCGTTTTTCAATTGGTGGTGTTTCGGGCTTTGCTGTGGCCTCCTTTTTGGGGTGACCGTAATCGTCTACATCCAGGACCACGTGGGGTGGGCCCCGGCAGATATCGTCCTTACGTTAGTAATGTCTTTCACGGTACTCATTTTTTGCGTCGGACGGCCGTTTTATCGGTTTAGGAAGCCAATGGGAAGTCCCTTAACACCAATGGTACAAGTCATTGTAGCAGCATTCGTTAAGAGAAATCTTCAATCCCCGTCCGATCCTGATCTGTTGTACGAGGTTTCCGATTCGGACAAGACGCGTAGCTCGACTAGGCTTCTTTTTCACACCAAAAAGTTCATGTAAGAATTGTTCTACTATAAATTTATTATCCTTTTTTTTTTTTTTTTTTTTTTTTTTTTAAATAACTCATGAAAGTAGTTATAATAATTCTGTTTTTACCAGGTTTCTTGATAAAGCTGCAATTCTTGAAGATAGATTCAGACAAGATCCATGGAGACTAGCAACTGTTACAAGGGTTGAAGAAGTGAAGCTAATTTTAAACATGATTCCAATTTGGCTGACAACACTACCCTTCGGAATCTGCGTAGCGCAAACAAACACATTCTTTATCAAACAAAGCACAACACTCAACCGAAAAATCACTAACAGTTTCACAATCCCACCAGCCTCCGTCTCCGCCTTAACCGCCATCAGCCTTATAGTCTCCGTTGCAATTTACGATAAAATCCTCGTGCCAACGTTAAGAAGAATCACAAGAAACGAAAGAGGCATCAACATCCTCGTTAGAATCGGAATCGGAATGATATTCTCGGTTTTAACCATGGTAGTAGCAGCTTTGGTTGAGAGAAAAAGACTAAGTATTGTGGAGAAAGATCCATTGCATAGTTCTCTTTCGATGAGTGTGTTTTGGTTAGCACCGCAATTTATAATAATTGCAATCGGAGATTGCTTCACGCTCGTGGGGTTACAAGAGTATTTTTACGATCAAGTGCCGGATTCTATGAGAAGCTTAGGCATTGCTTTATACCTTAGCGTGATCGGAGCTTCGAATTTTTTGAGTAGTGTTTTGATAATTTTGGTCGACCGTTTAACGGAGAAGAGCGGCAGGAGTTGGTTCGGGAAGGACTTGAATAGTAGCAGGCTCGACTATTTTTACTGGCTGTTGGGGAGTATTACTGCGGTGAATATTTTTGTGTATGCTTTTGTTGCGAGGAAATATTCTTACAAGAATGTTGTCAGAAATACTAATGTAGCTGTTGCTGATTGTTATCTAGGTAGTAATGGCATGAAGACTATGGCTTAGGCTATATATAATTAATATTGTATTAATGTATTATTAGTCTATTACATGGTTTTATTGTATCTTTCAGCTTTGGTAGTTTTGGCCATTATTGCATTGTTGAAATTAAATAAATCACTACTTTGGAATGCTATTATGCTATAAGTTCATGGTTTCTTTTGTTTGTTCTTTTTTCCACATTTTTTATATAAATAATAAATAAAAAAAATTCAGACATTTATTCTGTATTACAAAGATTCAAGAAATATAATTATTTTTCAAGAATAAATTAAAATAATTTTATGGTATTTATTTATTTATGTGTTGAACATTAAAAAAAAGACTATATTGGAGGAGATGGGCTATAAAATACAGAATAGGCCTTTTGTGCTGGTTCTATTTTGGGCCCAGTAATCTGTTTGTAGCTTGGGTTTTAGTACTAAGAAGAACAAAGGTGGCCCAAGCATGCTTCTTGGGGATTTAAAAAACGTGTTTTGGTAGAACAACGTAATTACGCGTCAACTGTCAACACCGTCCTTCACGATTTGTTCGACCCTACACCCAGTAAAAAACACCGGGTGGGTCTTCTACTGTCACGTGTCTTTTTTTTGTATTTTATAATACATTTCCCGCTAGGATTTACCTTTAGTGATTTTAGAAAAATAAAAGAAGGATACGTGGCAGCAGAAGACCCACCGATAATCACCGGGTGTAGGGTGTAGGGTCGAAAGAGCCGTCCTTCACTCCTTTTCCAATTCGACTTCAAATATAGGAAAGTAAAATATACGTCGGAATCAAACTGCGTTGATTTAAACCTTTAACCATTGTTAGGGTTTTAACTTTTTCAATAAGGTTTTTTCACACCAAACCCAGAATTCTATTCCTATAACGAAAATAAATAAATAAATAAATAATATTCTACTGGCATCCATTAATTTCCGTCCCAATTTTTCAAAACCTAGTGATCGATTAACTTTCTGAAGCTTTTGGGTGATTAGTGATCTTTACAACCTAATTAATGGAAGCTAGAGTTGGGGTGGACGGCGGCTCCGCCACGAGGGAGTTTCTCCATCACCACCAGACACGACCGCCCCCGCCCCCGCCCCCGCAGCAGCAGATATCGCAGATTGGCACGGTGCCGCAGCTTCTTGCCGGTGGCATTGCCGGCGCTTTTAGCAAGACGTGTACTGCTCCGCTAGCACGACTCACCATTCTCTTTCAGGTGATATTACGCGCGCTCTCTCTCTCTCTCTCCTTTTTTTATGATCACGCTTGCTTTTGGATTAAGAAACTGACAAGGATAAACATAATTCACCCATTCCCCCTGAAATAAACAATTATCTGCAGTAAAATCTTTGAAAAATTGAATGTTATTTGCACAAGATGTTTGTTTTCCTCTAACATGAAAGGCCGGATTTTTTTTCCCTTAACCTTCTTCCTCACCAGAATCTGGGTTCCGAACATGGTTGCTGATGCTAATTAAATGAACCTCGGAATTTGGTTTCGGTTCGAAGGTTGCGACCTTTGCTCTTCAGAAGGTAGTCTCGGAATATTGGCGTTAAAGGGCTTTCAGGACTCTGTTTCTATACTATATGCTATTGTCGGAACTTGCAAATCATTTTAGAAATATATTGCCAGAACTTGTTGAGTTTGTCAAACTTTGCAGTCACCTCGTTGTAGTGCAGTTGGGTGAACCCAACAACTAACTGTTAGCTGGTTGTCTTTTTATATATTCTTACTATTTTTTGTTAAATTTAATATTTATTATTTAGGTTCAAGGCATGCACTCAGATGCTGCAGTGTTGAGCAAGCCTAGTATCTGGCGTGAAGCATTGCGTGTAGTGAATGAAGAAGGTTTTAAAGCTTTCTGGAAAGGGAATTTGGTCACAGTAGTTCACCGGCTTCCTTATTCTTCAGTCAATTTCTATGCCTATGAAAAATACAAAAGTGTGAGTATTTGTAAAAAGTGCACATTCTAATTGCATTTAAAGCATCCATCTTCTACTTATATCAGAACTTTTACAGATATTAAAAACAGTTCCAGGCCTTGATGGACATGGTGGAAATGCAAGTGCAGACGTTTTTGTGCATTTTGTAGGTGGTGGCTTAGCTGGAATAACTGCTGCTTCTGCCACGTATCCGCTGGATCTTATCCGGACACGTCTCGCTGCACAGGTACAATAATAATATAATAAAATGGCAAGGATAAGGATATTTAACTGTTCTTGATGAAAATTGCGTTTATTATTTTTTACGAAGTCTTGACTGTACTTTCGACTTTGTAGAGGAATGCAATGTACTATAAGGGCATAAGACATGCAGTTTCTACCATATGCAAAGATGAAGGTTTTCTTGGCTTGTACAAAGGAATGGGTGCAACCTTATTGGTATTTTTCTAATTCATTTTCTTCGTAAACGGGGGTTGTCTAAACTAGGCACCATCGTCACTAAAGCTTTGTTTTTTAAGTATCTATAATTTATTTTCTTTATTTGGGTTGCAGGGCGTTGGACCCAGCATAGCTATAAGCTTTTCAGTTTACGAAAGTTTGCGATATAATTGGCAATCTCAAAGGTGTGAATATACCTCTGTATTTAATAATGACAACATCTTTTCGTTTTCTTTTTCTTTTTCTCTAGCTTAAGAATAACCTTTTTATTTTTATTGTTTATAATTAGGCCCGACGATTCTACAGTTTTGGTCAGCCTAGCTTGTGGCAGTCTTTCCGGCATTGCATCATCAACAGGTGGGTGAATTTCAAGTCCCGGTTTCTAATTTTAGTGATTCAATTAAAAATTGGCTGTGTGACAAGTAATACATATGATTTAATCTTGTTTTATTTCTACGTTCTTGTGCACTGCAGCAACATTTCCATTGGACCTCGTTAGGCGAAGAATGCAGTTGGAAGGTGCGGCTGGTAGAGCACGAGTGTATGACATGGGCATATTCGGAACATTCCGGCACATTATACGTAGTGAAGGCTTGCGTGGTTTGTATAGAGGGATTATGCCGGAATACTACAAGGTTGTCCCAAGTGTAGGGATCGTTTTCATGACATACGAAACTCTCAAGAAGCTTCTATCGAACGGGCCTTCTTCCAGTTAGTTGCCACATCTCCGAGAAAGCAACAAGGGTCTGTTTGGTTCAAGTATAAGGCAGCTACTTATCGGTAGATATTTTTCACCTGGTAAAAAAAAAAAAAAAAAAAAAAAAAAGAAAAAAAATCCTCCTACTGTAAATTATCTACATTGACAAATTTATATTAGTTTCTTTCTTTCTAGGTTTAGGGGTTAGGGTCATCATATTGATGATCCGATCCCCTCACCGTAAAATTTTGTAGTTGCCCGATTTTGTTAAATAAACTAATAATTTTTATTATTTTTACTGTGTGTAAGTTATAAGTGGATCATTAATTACTCGATGTATTTCATCGGGTGCAGCCCGTACTACATCCATTCTTATAAGATGACAGGCAGGCATATATTATATACAGCTGCAAAGATAAGAGCAGAAATATTTCTTGCTAATCTGAAGCTGCTGGTTTTTGGTGTTACTTGGATATGTTTGAAAATGTATTAGTGGATTCGTACGGAGATTTTTGTATTGATGTTAATGTCAATCTTTTGAAGAAAGAAAGAAAGACAAGAAAACTTTTTAAACTCTTTTGTCGTGTCTGGATTTTATTGAGATCTGGTGGTCGCTCAATGCTGATCAGAGACGTGGTCGGATTTTCTACATACTCGTATGTTGGTGTCAGTTGAACATTAAATTTCTCGTACACGTGCCGGCCATGCGGGGAAATTAAAATTAGGGGCCAATATGTACTACATTTTTTTACTAAAATTGTCAATCTATTTTTGGGCAAATTTCACTTTCCTCCTTTGTACTTTAGCTTGGTATTACTTTACCTCATTTTATTCTTGTTTATCGATTTGTCCCCTGCACCTGAAAAATTTGTCTCAATGTAGTTGTCATCATTTTACTCTCGTTTATCGATTTGTCCCCTGCACCTGAAAAATTTGTCTCAATGTAACCCTCATTGTTAGTTGTCAGATATTTAAACTGGGAAGAGTGACATGTTAGTTGTTAGATATTTAAACTGGGAAGAGTGACATTATTCTCGCTGTTAGTTGTCAGACATTTAAACCGGGAAGAGTGACATTTTTGTAATTTTCAGCTATTAGTTGTTCCAACATTTAAACTGGGAAGAGTGACATTTTTGTAATTTTCAGACCTTAAACCAAACGGTGTTAATGTTAAGTGTCAAAAAACTAATAACGAGGAGCACATTAACACAAATTTTCAAGTGCAGGGGTAAATTAATGCGATCTAGAGTAGAAGAGAGTAATATCAAGCCAAGAGGTAAATTAATGCGATCTAGAGTAGAAGAGAGTAATATCAAGCCAAAGTACAAGTGGAAAGTTAAATTTGCCCTTTATTTTTCTTAGATGCAAATTACTTATTTTTTTGTATTCTATTTTCTAACATTATTGTTGCATAAAAAGATTAATTCACTAACTCACTTAATGATCAATATCATAATATTTGATATGTTCAAAAAAAAAAAAATCATAATATTTGGGAGGCAATTTTTATTTATTTATTTATTTCCAGAAGCACACCAAAGTTATTTACATGCCCAGAGAAGAAGAAAGAAGAAAACATGAGATGAGTTTCAGGAGGTGCAGGGGCGATCCACGTCAGCTTTGAACAAAGCCATTCTTTGAGACTGTGAAATCTTTTTCCTGTTATTGAGGGCATCTATGTAATTACGTATACGATACCGATCCGAGTTTGTCAGCGAAAACGGAGGGTTTAGAATCAGGCATGGAGCTTCCACTAGTAGAAACACTAGCAAATCCACTGCCTTTGCATACAAAACCACCGCATTTTCCACGTTCCCCATATATTCAACAACCTGTAACATCACATTATTCATAATATTTACCGCTCCGCTTGAAATAATGTTAAGACAAAGAAAGCAAAAAGTAAAAGATATTTACAGCTCCGCTTTTGCCGAATGCAAGGGCAGACTGAAACACCAACTCCATTGCATCTGGCATCTCCATATTTCCTGATATGAAAAAAAAACACAATATATCATATATTGATTAGATATAACAGGAAAGATAATACGAAGGTATAATAACCGTACCGGGCTCTATCACTTTAGCAAGTTCTTCAGCAGTTTCAACTTCACCAAGAAAAGCTCTCTCTATCTGCAAACAAATATCGTGTGGCTCTTGTGCATTAGCAATATCAAGAGTAAACTCTCGGGAATCTGGAGAATCTCGAGCCCTGGAAGCTTCTCTCAATCTGGTAGTCTCTTGGCTCGAACTTCCTTCACTAGCCGACGCTGCATAAGTATGACATATATGCAACGCTTGCTTCCATATAGCAAGAATTACGAGCTGAACTGAAAACGCCTCGAGTTGCTTTCCTCCCCCAATCTAGGCCAAATTTCCCACGCTATTAGATTAGTAACTAGGTTTATACGTATCGTATTTATTTTGTCTAGGGCGAGAAAAAAAAATTACCTTTTCGTTCACTAATGCGGTAATGCAAGAAGCACAATGCTGTAATGACTTGATCCTCGTCATGCAGTCAGATGACGGCTGCTCTAAAGTGTTACCTGTTGTAACCATTGACCTTTCGGAAGTTGTAGGAATCAAGATTCGACTTTCTAGAATCCCATTATCGTCTTCTCGACCAATCATTGGCTGTGGTCCACTGGACACCATGTTTATATTTCCGGAATCGAGTGGCGAAATAGTGGTTTTAGGTGGAGAATGGCTTTGGTTGACTGCACGTGCTGAAGAAGAGGAATCTAGTGGATGACCTGACACGATTACATAATCCCGGTCGATTGACTCTAATGAATCTACAACTGTGAAGTCAACGCGAATTACACAACAACAACAAAATATAAACACCCCTACTTGTAAAAGAGATGAATTCAAGAAAATTAACAAAATAAAGCACACACCTTTTGGATGATTATCTAGCGATCCAAGATCCGTAATTTTAAGAGAATCTTTTAGATTCCTATCTGAAAGTTGCCTGCTGCCCAGACGGGACCCGGTGATTTCTGTTTTACGTGGGGCCACGTTTGCAGGAGATTTCGAATCAAGAGAAAACCCGTAAGTGGATCTCATGGTGGGGTTTTTCGGAGATGGAGGTGAGCTGGAATCATCGTCTAGACTAAAGGGTAAGCAATAATCTTGTGAACTTTCGGCTGTTGTATTCCTCTCGGATTGTGGGAAATCATTTAATAATCTTTGTGGTTGCCTATTCCTGTGCAGAACAAACAACTCTCCTATATTCTCAAACCTACAAAATCTTGTATTATCAAGATTACGTAAAAACATGTCAAAAAACTCGTTTACCTGAATGACTCGGCAGGCTGCCTGTCGGAAAGATATGGATGGTTGAAGAATTCTTCAAATGTCAGACGCTCCACTGTGCAAGCATTAATTAACCAGTGATGTGTTAATCATTTTTTAAATAAATAAAAAAAAAGAAATTCAAAAGCAGAAAACAAGGAATATACCTGGATTACGACGAAGCAGTTTTCTACACAAGTCTGTGCAGTGGGGGCTCAAATTCCTGGCCTCCGGTGGAAACTGCAACTCAATTGACCTCATAATGTTTTGTAGCAGCTGCAAAATGATTTCAAAATATGGGTTTAGAGATTAGACAACGATAACTATATTTTTTTTAGCGAGGAAAAGATTTAAGATGAACGCACCTGTAGCTGATTATTGCCTGTAAATGGGGTTTTTCCAGTGACGAGTTGAAAAAGAATGGCACCGACACTCCAGAGATCTGCCTGTATTTATCCACTCAAAGTTAGTTGAATAATTAGATATATGTAGGAACATGAAATAATTAAGTAAAAATCTCACCTTTGCGTCGTATTTCTGGAACTGCATTATTTCTGGAGCCATGTACAGTGGCGAACCACATAGGGTTTCTGCAAGGCCTTTAGGTTGTAGAGACCTGCATAAAAAGAAAGAAAAAAAAAGGGAAATTCAGAACTGAACATTTTCATTACTTATACAGACAATAATGCGTATGTATTTTTATAGACGGTTTTACCTGGCAAACCCGAAATCAGCAATCTTCAGGACACTGTTATCGTCATTGGTGCAAAGAAGTAGATTCTGTTTCGGGATTGAAAAATAATCCAGCAATGAAAATCAAGAAATCTCAAGAAAAAAGAAACATTAATATATGGAAAAGACTGTGAATTCTCATTACATGGCAGCTATTCATAATAAAGATTTTTCAATTAGACGTATAGGTTTAGGCTCTGATTATTACAACAACCAACCCAAACAAAATATGTAAATAATAAGGGTAGCTATAGTTTCAAACCTGGGGCTTCAAATCCCGGTGTATGAGGTTGTTCTCACGAAGAACTTTCAGACCCTCCGCTGCAAGAGTACACATAAAACACGACTTAATTTATAACTGAAACAAAAGACAAAATAATAGGAAGGCGGAAAATAAATAAGAAAAAAAATACCAAGCTGCTGCATGAAGTGCTTTGCAGTTGCTTCACTGACTTTTCCATGCCGTTGTTGAATATACATCGAAAGGTCACCCCCTTTGCAGTACTCCAGAACAATGTATATCTTTCCAGATTCCTACAACCATGCAAACGGAAACTCGTTTCTAGTCTAATAACATCCAAATTTTAATATCTATATTTATAGACGGAATGCAATTTCAAGAAAGCGGGTAAGCATCAATAACATTCATGTTAATGCAGATCAGAAAATGCCAAACGGAACATATTATTTACTATCTCAGATACCTCAGAAGCAGAGAAATCTTCGAAGCCACAAATGGTAATAAAAAAAAAAGCGTCTCTCAAAAGTTCAACGAGGGGGAACACTTATTTCCTTGTTCTTTATTAACTAAATGTGCCGACCACCAATTTAAGGTCGAGCAATCACATAAACCAACATGTCGAGGAAAAGTATATCCCGACAATAAAAAAAGCATGAAAACCATACATATTAATAACAGCCTAGACATTACCGAAAACGACAACCAATTCCGCTTGTCGTTGACTATAACGATCCTGAATTTCCTCGTTCCTCTTAAAATCACTATCTGATTTCGGTTTTCATCCATTCTCTGACACTAATCTATATCATCAATCTACACATGCGTCACAATAATGCCTCCAGTAGACAAAACAACCCTCAACTTAAAAAACATAATGTCGTAATGCAAATCGCATTACACAATCCGAGAATCACATTTCAAACCAGAAACAAACTTACACAATTATACTTTGAAATCACACCGATTTATACTTCAAGAGCCACTAATTCAAATACAAACACAAAGGGAGAAACTCACTGACTCCAGATTTCATGACTTCAACAGAACTAAAACCAAAAAAAAAAAAAAAAAAGATAGCAACTTTTTCACTTCACATCCTCCCTTCCAAACATAATCTCAAAAAAAAAAATAAAAAAAAAAATGAGTGACCTCGATCATGTCGTGCAAGCGGATAATATTAGGGTGATTGATTCTTTTGAGTATAAAAATCTCAGACTTGAGGCTCTCGTGCAATTTGGGATTCAATCGAGCGGTGACAATTTCTTTGATGGCGACTTCTGTGCCGTGGACGCGGTGGCGGGCGTGCCACACCGTCGAGAAAGAACCAGCCCCTATCTGCTTCCCAACCATATAATCCCCCACCACATAATACCTCCTCGCCGGTTGAGCCATCATAAATATTCTAGTAGCTGAAAAACAATCCGAATAGCAAGAAAAGGAAGCAGAAACAAAAGAAGGAGAAGAAGGGTTTGCTTTATTGCATTCGGTTGTTTTTCACAGGAGAATATTTGGTGGGGTTTTTTGGTTTTATCTCTCTACTGATTTTTTGGGGGAATATGATGGTGAAATAATAAGAGAGTTGCTGTGGAGAAGACGGGTATTACATTAAATATGAATTCGATTAGTTTAATGATGTTTGACGAAGTGCTTGTAAATTCCCAGTTTCAGAAAGAAAAAAAAAATAATGATTTGAGAATTGAGGATTAAATGAAGAGGTTTTTTTTGAATTTGATGAGATTCTTCGTGGGTGGGATTCTCTAATTCTACTGTGTGCTCTGTGCGTGCTGCGCATCACCGAACGCCCGAACCATGGTGATGGTACCAAAAACGACAAACCTGTTCGAAAACGTGGCGTGACGTGATTGGTTTCACCATAGAGACGTAGCTGAAGATAGTAGCTTTTTTATTACGTTTGTGGAGTGGGTTTACTTCAAATATTTGGGCCTAATTATTGATGTTATATGTGGGCTTAACTTTAATACAGGCCAGATGTAGGATTTTCCCACGGACTGGACCAATAATAATTTCGAATTGTCCAATGGGCTGCACCATTAGCAAACCCCTTATTAGTCTATAAGATATAAATAAATGTCCAAATTAAACTATCCTTACATAATAAAAACACAGTAAAATCCATGTTCATATAAATTAATATATATATATATATATATATATTCATCAAAGAACTCATGTATATTAATATTTTACATATAAAGATCAACATCATCAAGAAGCAGTCTGGGTGGTGTAGTCGGTTATCACGCTAGTCTCACACACTAGAGGTCCCCGGTTCGAACCCGGGCTCAGACAATTATTTTGCGAAACATTTCTATACATATTTTTGGACGGTTCATCAATCATCACTAGAGGCGTTTTCTATTTCCTAATTGAATCTCTACACTCAGAATCCTGTGCTGCATCATCGAAACACTATCGCAAATCGAAATTCAAAACGCCTTCTTCGTTTTCCACTCAGTTTTACGTCTTTCTATTGGTTTTTTTTTTTGTTTTTGTTTTCGGCCTAGGGTTTCTAGCGATCAATCGAATTCGAGATTTCGACCACTTGTAACAATCAATGGATTGGGGCACCGTAACGGCGGAGGATCTGGTCGAGGCGCTGAGAGAAGTGGACTGGTCATCGCCGCCGCGCCCGCTCGCAGAATTCTTCTCTCGGTTCACCTTGCCCCGTTCGTACGCCAAATGGAACAGTCGCCTCAAGTGCAACCTCTACTAGTACGATCTATTTCCTTATGTATTCACGCTCAATCTTGTAAATGCATCATATATATAAACGTGCGATCACTTCTGGTAGTCATTCAATTGAATCGCCCGATTGTTATGTTGCATAATCTGAAAAAAAAAATACAAATATGCATTATTTTTCGTGATCCTGAGCTCGGCATTCATGAATAGATGTTTCTAGCTTTTTCGTAATGTGTAGAATTTTCCTAATCGGTATCAAAGCTCTGAAAAGAGTTCATTCACATTTCTCATATGTTTTTTTTTTTTTGATTTATTGCAGTTACCGGACCAATTATTTTTTAATGATTGTTTTCATTCTTGGTAAGCGAGCCAATGATGATGGTTTAATTTCTTGTGTGCACGGCATTCACATGTCATGTCCATGTTTGCACACGACTGCTAATTAAGGTATCAAAATGTGTGCGAGTTTCAGGAATTGGATTTATTAGGAGGCCGCTTGCTATTGTTGCTGCACTCGTGACATCTTTGGGTATAGCATTACTGAATGATAGGTATACATTTTCTGAATAAATCATCAATTAGCACCGGGTTTTTTTCACCCTCACTCTTTCTATTGGTTATGATTTATGATAAAAGGCAATTAAAGAAGGGGAGGAAATAATATAATTAGCTTTCATTGAAGTCCATTGTCATTCTTGTTCGTTTCAGCTTTCTTTATATTGCCAAAATTTCTTTGTTTAGTTTTGCAGGTACTTTCAGTGAAAAGGTCACAAGAACCGTCAGGCAGTTTTCTCCCCATTTGGCTGCTAAAATGAGACCATCCCTCACGTAAGTAATGTTTGTTGTTCTGAGTTTGCTAATCATTTTATGTTGTTTCTTACTTGGACATTTAATTCAATTAGGCCCGTGATTCGGGGACGACCATCTGTAAAACGAGCAATACATATATGTGGACGGCCCCGGTGGGTATTTGTCTTGTTATTTTCTACTGGTAAGATATATTTACTGTTTTGCCCCCTTATTGATCAGTTAGGGCACTAAAGTCTGAAGATGTACTTTAACTTGCAAATAACTGTGATTTCTTGTTTATGCTCTCTGCAGTGGGATTCCTACTTTGGTTTCTTTCTTGTGGTATCGTCACAGTCTTATGGGCATTTGCTATTGGCCTTCTTGGTAATATTTTTTCTCACTTTTATGTTTCTTCTCCACTGTGTATTATCTTTTTCACTCTCTCTCTTTCTCTCAGCCACCCTCATTCATGCAAGCTTTAGGACACCAAACTTGAAAGCTCGTTTGAACACATTCCGTGAAGAATTCCGTGCTGTTTGGCGCAATTATAGTGAGCTGTAGCTTGTGAAGCCGCCCACATGTCAGTTATTTCCATCTACCTTCCTCAATATTGATATTTTTTGTCCTCTATCTTTGTTTTCTTCCATGTATGCTTTTGTACGTCATCTAGTAATATGTATTCTCTATCTGTGCTCTTTTGTTGCATTACGTGTTTTGTTTGAGTTACATCCATAAGTTTCTGAAAAGAAAAGTATAACAATGTCATAAGATCCCATTTACTATTCCTTGACACAGTTAACTGAATACTTCTCATTCTGCTTTGCTTCTTATTTATTGAAACTCGTGCTACATCAGTATTGTTTGGTTATGGCACTTCTCCTCGCTTTTTCGTCTGAGGACCAAATCTTATCATAGAAAATTTGTCTTGTTTTACGATTTTTTTGTGCTTTAAGAGTGCATCGACCGACCTACTATGGTCTCCCTTGATCCTAATATTAAAGGTTTATTTGGTGAATTTTGCTTGTGTTTTAGGAGCCCGCGTGGTTTATGAAGATAAAACATGGCTTGATTTTCATCATGCAACTTGTTCAATTTTCAAGAAACGGAGGCGACTAGAGTGTAAATTTCTTGAAGAAATCTGTTATATAATGTGAGAAGTCGACTATTACTGTCTGAGGAGATATTATTGCCGTTGCGAAGTAGTCAGTTCGTTTCACAGAATTGTATTATATACTCCTATGTGACCCTTTTTCGATTGCACTAGAAAGAATCAGTATAAATTTCATCAAATCGAACAGATAATTGAGCATATTATTTTTGAACTAATTGCACTAATCTTTTCTTAGATTTTGAAAGTTATTCAGACATTTCTTAAGATTTGATTGATTTGGCAAAAATATCAATTTTGCTCATCATAGATAATCAAAATTCGGATATGTCTGGGATTGGAATGACAATCAAATTTCAGTGATTAGCTACCTAAAATTTAATTATAATAACTAATAAAATACAGCTTCAATTTTGTAAATAATAGATAACATGAAAGTAATGTTTTGTTTTATTTCAAATATCGAAATACAAATATTCTTTAGTCGAGGCCACAATACATTCTAAATATGTATATAATATATATATATATATATATATATATATATATATATATATATATATATATACTATCTTATAAACTATCTTATAAACGTTGGGCAAACCTAAAAAACTCTAATGGTATTTCTGTAATTAAATATTTTTAATATTTTTTTCTCTACTAATTTTTAACTATAATTTTTAACAATTATCAAAATTGAAACTAAATTATGAAGAATCATATCTAATGGTACTTTTGTAATTATTTATTTTTAATATTTTTTGTCTACTAATTTCTTAACTATAATTTTTAACAATTATCAATCTCCTATTTTTCATCAATATATCTCAAATCTTAAGAGATGGAGATAGAAATTTAATTCGTTAAATCTTAATCTATATATTTGAATTATAAATCTTAACATGTCATATTTAAAAAAACTAATGTTATATAAAATATGAATAATACTACATTATTAAATTTTACTATGTTAGCATACTATATTTTCTTATTATGTATTAAATTGATTTTTTTTTCACTTTTGAAATAATATATATATATATATATATATATATATATATATATATATATATATATATATATATATATATATATATATATATATATATCAATTGACAATTAGTATATAAATTAAACAATTGAAAAGAAGAACGTGTCCAATTAAGTTTTGGTTTTATTATTATTGATGAAAAATAAAACTAGTTGGACTGATTTTCCTAATATTTAGTCAGTCCAAGAAACCAAGTCACCCGTAAAAAAATGACGCTGAATTCTGATTAGTTATTCCGAGCTTTCATCTCTTTATATAGTACACACCCATTCCTCTGTTATTTTTTTCTTTTCTTTCACAAAAAAGAAAATAACTCAGATTATTGCATCACACTCTTACAAAATTAATGTAATATGGATCCCACCAGAGATTTTGTCAAGAATATCAAGCGTGTTGTTTTCAAGGTATATATTTTTCAACATGCATTAATTGTTTATTTTTTCTTATTAGTCGATTAATAAGCTGTTCTATACGATTGTTTATTCAGATTCGGCATTTCCTATTTCTTCTTGAAGGATTAAAGTTCAGTTATTTTTTTGGGTGAAAAATCGAGCTAGAATATGCTGTATATATATATATATATATATGGAGATGATGATCTGCGATAACGTAGTATACATTTTTTATATACGTATTTTCTCGATGCCTCTCATGTGTGCAAATCACACATAAGCTAGGTACAGGATTCAAATCACGCAACAATTTTTTGTTTTACGATACATTTTCCAAATCGTTTCACACATCCATAACAAAATGCTTTCGCCTCACTCTACTTTGTTCGATCAATTTCTGAATCCCATCTCTCATACGTGCATGCGAAATCCAATCAATGTATTGTTTCTTGTTTGGGAGATAGGTCGGAACTGCCGTCGTAACACGAAACGATGGAAGATTGGCAATTGGCAGAGTTGGAGCTATTTTTGAACAGGTTTTTTTTTTTTTTTTTTTTTTAACACTATATACTGAGCCTAATATTATATATGTTTCTTAATCACATTCTAAATTTAATAAATTAAAGTATAAAATAAATGTTGTAAATTGTGACAATCCAGCTCGAAGAATTGAACTCTCAAGGCTACGAAATAATATTAGTGACTTCGGGTGCTGTTGGAGCTGGTTGCCAAAGGCTCAAGTACAGGAGATTATTGAACAGCAGGTGGTTAATTATTTATTTACATACATATTAATTATGTGTTAATTATTTTATTTTCTGAAAATTAAGTGTTGTGTTGGCAGTTTCGCGGACTTACAAAAGCCGCAGGTCGAAATAGACGGAAAGGCGTGTGCGGCAGTTGGACAAAACGGTCTTATGGCAGTATATGATTCTTTATTCAACCAGGTTTATTATTCTTGTTACTATTTTTCATTTATGTAAACAATCTGTTTTATTGTTATTAGTTTTTTTAATTCCTCGTACATGGTTTTATTACAGTTGAACATTACGTCGTCCCAACTTCTAGTTACGGACAATGATTTCAAGAATCCGGAATTCAGAACCCAACTTTCTCGAACGGTGAATTCTTTGTTAGCTCTAAGAAGCATCCCGATATTCAACGAAAACGATGCAATCAGTACCAGAAAAGCTCCATACGAGGTATCTATATATATTATTGTAACTTTTCATTTTATTTATAATTTATCAGAGACTAAAAAAAATCAACAGCAGGATTCAACAGGTATCTTTTGGGACAACGATAGTTTGGCGGCTCTATTAGCAATTGAACTGAAAGCCGACCTTTTGGTATTGTTGAGTGACGTGGAGGGTCTTTACAGTGGGCCCCCGAGCGATCCGAATTCGAAGCTGATATATACATACGTCAAACAAAAACATCAAGGTGTAATAACATTCGGAGATAAATCAAGAGTCGGAAGAGGCGGAATGACTGCTAAAGTCAAAGCTGCAGTCAGCGCTGCTGATGCTGGCACGCCAGTTGTCATTGCCAGGTATATATTGACTGTTGGAAATATTAATATTAAATGATACATTTCAGTAACAATTTTTAAATTTTTGGTTGAAATATAATATATATTCGGCCTTTTCCGTTTTGTTGGAAGTGGTTATGTGTCAGAGAACATTGCGAAGGTTCTAGAAGGACAAAGAGTGGGTACGCTGTTTCACAGAGACGCTCATTCGTGGGTTACGCTTAACGAATTAAGTGCGCGTGAGATGGGAGTTGCAGCGAGAGAGTGTTCGACTAAATTACAGAGTGTTTCTTCTGAAGAGAGGAGTAAGATTTTGTGCGACATTGCAGAAGCATTGGAGGAGAACGAAACTGTAATTAAAGTCGAGAATGATGCTGATGTGGCAGCTGCACGCGAGGCTGGTTACGACGAGTCGCTAATTTCCCGATTAGTATTGAACCATGCAAAGGCAAGTTATAGAAAAAATGATCGGTTCGTGTTTTGAAAAGTGAAAAAAAGTAGTGTTTTTCTTATTTTGTGTTTGTACATTTTTGTTAGATTTCCACTCTGGCAAAGTCTATTAGGAAAATTGCAGACATGGAAGAACCGATCGGTCAGATATTGAAGAAAACCGAGGTACGTTTATTATTACGAGATTTAATAAAAATGAGGAGTAATTTTCTAACTAGCTAGTAGCTATTTATCCATCCAGCTGGCAGAAGGGCTTATATTAGAAAAGACTACATGTCCTTTGGGTGTTCTATTGATTATTTTCGAGTCTCGACCGGATGCGCTAGTTCAGGTAATATAGAGGCTTCATTTAAATTTTTCATGAAAATAATATTTTTGGCTACTTAAAGTTGAATTAGCTGATTATTTAGTTAACGAACTTTTGGACATTTACACAATAGATTGCGTCACTAGCAATTCGAAGTGGGAACGGTTTGTTGCTAAAAGGAGGCAAAGAAGCTAGGTGCACTAATGCAATTCTTCACAAGGTGAAATTTGCAATAATTTCTGTCGATTTTAATCAGTGTGGTATCCGTATTTACTGTTTTCTGTTGTGTTAGGTAATTACTGCAGCAATTCCTGAAACAGTCGGCGAAAAACTTATCGGACTAGTGACTTCAAAAGAGGATATTCCAGATTTGCTCAAGGTAATAATTAAGAACTTATTTTACGAAACGATCTATATAAGATGTACCTGATTTATTAATTTTTTTTTGCATGACAGCTTGACGACGTAATAGATCTTGTGATCCCAAGAGGAAGCAACAGGCTCGTTTCGCAGATAAAGTCTTCCACCAAAATTCCGGTTGTTGGTCATTCTGGTACGATAATTTATTTACCGAATCGTAAACATTTTTTTTAAATTTTGTTTCACCAAGAATTATAATATTCTGTTCTGTCAGATGGAATCTGCCATGTTTACATTGATAAATCAGCAAATATCGACATGGCAAAGAGCATTATTGTCGATTCGAAGCTCGACTATCCTGCTGCATGTAACGCCATGGTATTATATTTTTTATTTTTTTTGTCGAGCGATTTATATTTCAACTTTGCATTAGTAACAAAATAGTACTACTACCTTGTTCCGTTGTCCAGGAGACGCTTCTTGTTCACCAGGAATTGTCAAGTTCCGGAAGTTTCCAGGAGCTTCTAGATGAACTGAGTCAAGGAGGTGTTACACTGTACGGGGGACCGCGCGCAAGTTCAATTCTGAATATTTCGGAAGCTAAATCATTTCATCACGAGTACAATTCAAGGGCTTGCACTGTCGAAATTGTGGATGACGTCAAATCTGCCGTTGATCACATACGTAGACACGGAAGGCATGTTTTACTTTTCACACTCCGTCTTTTTTTTTCGCATTTTGTTGTGGATTTATCAATTTTATTTACAAAAATTGCAGTGGCCACACTGAATGCATTGTCGCGGAAGACGTAGAAACTGCTGAGTATTTCTTACATCAAGTTGACAGGTATTTTCAAGAATCAGAAACTGTACTACTCAAAGTCTTTAATTTGCTTAAAAATATCAGTATGAGATTTTTCCTCTGTTGTTGACAGTGCTGCAGTTTTTCACAATGCAAGCACTAGATTCTGTGACGGAATGCGATTCGGCCTTGGGGCAGAGGTACCAAAAACTGCGAACGCTAATTCTTATTCAAATCCTTCGAGATTGTAGTAAAATAATATTATTTTTTTTTTCTTTTTCTTCTCGTGGTTGAAAAGGTTGGAATAAGCACGAGCAAGATACATGCTCGAGGCCCCGTTGGAGTCGAAGGACTACTAACAACAAAATGGTACGGAAAATTACGATTATACTACTCCGCGAAAAACATGTACACAAGATTACACGTTTGTGAAAAAGTGCTACTTCGATTAATCTGTTTTGTTAACGCTTTCTTTGATCACTACTATAACTGTATCTTGCAGGATTCTGAGAGGCAATGGGCATATCGTGAAGGGAGACGAAGGAGTCGATTATACACACAATAACTTAGTCGTTCTCACCGAGCAATAGGTCTAGTTTTCATTCAACATTTAATTTTTCTGTTTTTCTATGTGGACCGTGCATTTGTTGCAGTGACAAGTCGAACAGTGCATTAGTTAACTACCTCCAAATTATTGACTTGTTTACGGACTCCGCATTTTCCAAGGAAATCCGTTATTTTAATGCAAATTAGTCATTAAGCACACTGGTAATTAATTTTCTTTATCATAATAAAACAAATAGTACACATATGCTATT